GCCCGAGTAGGAATGGCCAGTTGGGCTCCCAGATCCTCTGCTGTAAGCTCAGCACACGAAGGGACAGCATCCCCAGGAAATGGCCGAAACTGGAGGTGATGACAGGTACGGATGCTGAGCTCAGCCTCGCCTCAGCGCCTCAGCGCCTCAGTCGCCTGGGTCACTCTTGTCGTCTGACCAGAGGTGCCACTTTCACAGCAGCGTCAACATTTCATGGGTGCTCTAGATTTTCTAAAATATCACTTTCAAAGAGATGAAGAGATAAGTTCTCAGTTGATATAACTATATTGATAGTTCTCTGTTGTGTGTGTTTTGTTCAGGTAAAGTTTGAGCTGCGTATACAGGAAACAATTTAATGCATTATACATACCTTCATAATTATAATGGGCTTCTGTTGACAGTCATAAGGCATTATAGTGTTGATTATAATACTTATAGTTCCAATGAAGCTCTCATCTGTAATGCACCATAGATACCTTTATAATACATTACAATGGTTGGTTTAAGATTTAAGGATGCTTTGTACTGTATTATGCAGATATCTATAGTGCATTACAGATAAGAGCTTCATAAAGCATTCATAATGCAAAATAAGCATGTCTATAATGAGTTTACATAAATGTTTATAGTCATGTTTATAATGCTTTATGAATGTGTTATGAATGTGTATGCATGACAGATGTAATAGACATGGCACTCACCGGAAGTGTTACCAGTAACACAGCTTATCCCAAGGACTTGGACAGTGGACAGCATGGGAGTTCCGGGTAACACTCCCCCACTCTGTACACCACAGGCAGAGCTGGGGGCAGGACCCGGCACCCTGGAGGTGTGAGACCACCGTACGGATCAAATGCCTTTCCATGATAAACCGTCTCCTATGTGGTGTTCAGCATTCATCTGGATGATTGGCGTTTTTATTGCTTCACAGTCTTATTTTAATATTTACCCGCATGGCGTGTAATTCACCTAATCTCTGCTTGTTCAAGCAGATGCATGAGCTTTGCACTGCATCACTTCTAGCACTAATGTCTCAGCAAATATAATGAAGGAGCGTGGAGCTGGCTTATGTCCTGCGGCTGCCAACCTGCTCGCTAAGCCTAAGCTTTCCCTCACTGTTGGGAATTTCAAGTCCAAAAACTACAAATCCAGACCAAGATTTTGTTTCTACCGACCAGGTAAGTTCTCCTACTGTGACTCTTTATACTCAACTGGTTGATAGAAGCAAAATCTTAGTCTGGATTTGTAGTTTCTGGACCTGAAACACCCAACATTGTTTCCTTGCATGTTGCTTTGGGCAAAAGCATCTGCTAAATAAGTCAATGAATTAAGAAGCATCCTCATGTCACTCCTCAGTTATGTCTGTATTTATATAAATTATAAATGAAATGATATGATGGGTTAAGTTGAGATGCCTTAATACAGGGTTATTCAAATCACAGTCCTCCAGGTCCGAGCCCTGCTGGTTTTCCAGCCTTCCTCTATCTGAGAAGCCTCTAACCAATCAGAATCAGTAATTATTAAACTAACTACCTGGGAGAACTGAAAACAAGGCCTGGATTTGGAATCGAGGGCCAGATTTGAATAGGGGGACCTTAGTAGATTGCTTTGTTATGACCCCTGCAGACCATATTTGTAGCATGGAAGGTCAGCAGATAAATAAAGCGCAGTAAAAGCTCTGATCAGCATGGGGAAGGGAATAAGGTGATGCAGGGTTTGGGGAAGAATAGGGTTTATTTGGGGCAAGGCTAAAATACACTTAGCATAAGCAACAAGGTAAGCAAAACACAAGAAAAATTGCATCGTCATGAAAGCCTGAGAAAAATAATACCACAGACAATTATAGGTACAGGGACTAGGGCTGGAAATAGGGTCCGAGTGGGAGTATTAGGTGCAGTAAGGAAATAAAATGCTTTTCTGTGCTCATAAGAGTGACGTGAGTGAGCACAGTCCTCCCAGTCACTCAGAGCACCATCCCACACACCAGGGCTGTCCTTAGGGTTAGGGGGGCTTTAGAAGATATGTAGTTATTGTACTTAAGTACAATAACTTAAGTACTGAATAGTTTGCCATTGGCCTCCCCAGTAAAGGCTCAGCCCCCCATCCATTCATCTCCAACCACACCTCTGCCACATACACAATTTGAAGTCAGGCTTGGTGGTTCCACAAGAGCAGCTGTCTCTATGGAACATTAAGAGTCAAAGAATTATTTTGCCTGCAAATGTGAACTGTCAGCATCATTAAGTTTTGACACAGGCTCCAAATGTTACTGCCTTAAACATTTAATCTGAACGCAAACGTTTTACATGAACAATGTTCTTCTTCAAGAAACTGATCCCGGATGATCGCTTGGCTTTTGTTTAAAGTACCACACCTCTTATTTATATTGGACAAGGTCAGGACAAAGGTCTGGTAAAAATGCAGGAAAACACAGGCTCACACCTTTGTGTTCCTAAGAATCTCAATGCAAACAAAAGACAAACTGAAAACAAAAGAGAAGAGGTTTGCTGACATAAAACTCGCTTGGAGGCAGGTGCTGGTAAACTGAGACCTGTGTGCTAAATTATGTAGGAAGTGTTCTGGTGTACAGGGAGAATCAGAATAATTAACTGCACCAGGGAGAAAGCAACACTCTTTGAATTAAGGCCACATTCATTATTTTCACCTTCTTTTGAAATGTTACATCAAATGACAAAACTGGCCCTGCTTACATTTGGTTTTAAAATGTGTCTTTGGTGATCAGGTCACAAGTAAACAGGTGAGGCACGTCACTGTTTATATCTGTGTCTGTTCTGTGTCCCCAAGGTGTCCAGCTGACTACTTGTGTTCAGATTTCGTTACTGCCATCGCGCACAGTTATTGTGAGATGCTTATTGGGGACGCATCAGGACGCATTAGGGTTTACGCTACAAAAGACGTGGTCAAATGCATCCCAGGACATCTTAGCGCGTGGTCTGGGTACTCGGATCGCAGTGTGCCTTGGTGGTCCTTCACACTTGTGTCTGTCCATTTATGGCCTGATCCCCCGAGACCCATTTTAAAGCCAAGTGTAAGCAGGGCCATGGTGACTGGTGCCAGAAAGTGAGAAATGAAACGGAAGACTTCATTCCTGCATTATTATTTTGTATAACCGGTACAGTTTTGCCCTATACTGGGAGGATGGACAAAATGAAGGAAACACTTTATTATTAAGTATAAGCAATAGGGTCGTGTGCTGCCTTCAGAACCACTTCATCCTTCTTGATATCCTGCGATACGAGTCCTGAGCTGTGTAGTGGGTTCATGAGCCTTTCCTCAAGAAGAAGGTATGGAGAAGGACAGCTAGTTCATACACTGTGCTCCAGAACGTCCTGTAAAAGTTAAGCGATGTTTAGTTTAAGGAGGTTGTGAGGCATTTAGCTTCATCTTAGTGTTAATGAAAGTATAGTTTAAGTTGTTTATCACTGTGTACAGAGACATCTTACTGAAACATGAGAACAGCAGTGTTCGCACCATAGATTGCACCTGGTCCTGTAAAAAGGCCTCATATTGTTTGGATGTTAAATGACCATGCAGACCAATCATCAGTCTTAATGACCCCCCATTAATGACCCCCCAGAGATGGCTGCCTGTGCCATAAGAGATGTTAAACGCTTAGCTTTCTCCAAACATAAATCATTCCAGATGGAGCAAAAGGGTAAAAGATGACGTATCAGCCTGTATTACTTTTGATTATATACGGTGGCCTTGAATACAAGAGGCATCAAAATGGAAACCCAGCTACAAATTCCACAGAAAGCTGACAAACATTAGTTTTTCTTTTAGTTTTTCTTTTCTATTCTGCATCATAAAATTGCTGATTTTGTTCTCCAGTTATTTTTGAGGCCATACTTTTGTGGTGTTTAGTGTTTAGAAACTATCCAGACTTGTCAGTGAACTTCACTTTGCAGCCGGTGTGCTAATGCAGTCTGGCGTTTGCTGTCCTGATTATTTAAGCCAGTGTTTCCCAGTCCGGTCCATGTTTTTGCTCCCTCCAAGCTCTGTGCCAGACAGCCCATATTTACTTCTCATGTCAATATGTGACGTTAACTTAGTGATTAGGAGGTGAGAATATTATACAGCTGTGTCATTACAGATTGATCGATTTGGAAAATAGAAACTTCTGCATATGTGGGTTAATCCTGATGATAATGTCATACTAAGTCTTTGCCTGTGGTATATAGTGGAGTTTCTGTATTATAATCTGATAGCATTCTGACTTTTATGCTGATTTTGGTTTATGTATAATTGTGTACAGTGTCCTTGTGTACTCTGAAAGGCGCCTTTAAAATAAAATGTATTATTATTATTATTATAATGCCCATTCTTGCAGGTACTTTGTGTGATTCTGTCCTGGGTATTTTGGGTTACAGTTGTGATGCTGTGTTTGTTTGTAATTCTGGGCTGATTTACAATGTCCTATTAGCACAGACCTGTAATTATATAGCTAAGAGTTCCCCCTCTGTGGCGTCCGGTCCCATCGATCTGCTTTGCTTTGCACTGCAGTGTTTCAAGTCCGTTCAGTGTCTGATTATGATATTGACACTGTATACTAGTAAAAAAAAAACTGTTCGATGCAAAAACTTCCCTGTGAAAAGAGTGCACTGCTTAAATGTATACATTTTCAAAATTACTTTTTGCATACATAATTATGCCTATTTTTAAAATACAACACTTGAAAGACTCCTAGCGTCAAAGTTTTCCTCAGGAATCTGGCATTATCTGAGGGTAATTTTTGATAATCTGTCATTCATTACCTAAGTTGTCCTGCTAATAAATGTACATCTACACATTATGTGTACTTCCATCCCTGGAAGCTCTACCTCCCTGTCCTCCTCACAGCTCTGTCCCGGGGCCGGTATCTTTCCAGGTGACCTTCTGAACGTAGCAGTCCCTGACTCTGTGACAGGAAGACAGTGACTGCAGTCTGTAACGCATCTCCTCTCTCCCTCCTTCTCTGCTTTTCCCTTCTCGTCCCTCAGATGAGATCCTGCAGGAGGAGGGCAACCGTCTCTGTGCCGCCGATGTCGAGTCCGAACTCAAGAAGCAGTTCGCCTTCCTGCCAGGTAGATCCCCTATGTCTGCCGCACTGTGCTATCCTTCCTGCCTGAGTCTGTAGAGGAACAAAACTAAAAACTATGGGTCAGACTGACCAATCAGGAAACAGAAGAAGCAGTCTGGGGCCTATCCCAGACAGCACATGACACAAGGCCGGGGTATACCCTAGACGGGATTACCTGACCATTGTAGGGTACACACTCAAATATAATGTGCCAGTTCTCCAAACCAGCCTTGGAGGTGTGAGGCTACTCAGACGTGACACATCTCATTTTCTGATAAGTAATATGTTACTATACCTAATGCATCGTAATACGTAGAATTTTATAATAACAAGACCCCTGGTTATTGTTCAGGATGCCGTAATAAACCTTTTAATGCTACTTAAACAGAGAGTGAAAACGCATATATATAACAATACTGAACTTTCCTTCAGTGATATCATTGGATATTTATAAACAAAGCCAAAGATTTGGCAGAATTACTAGAGTCATCTGAAATTAAGCTACCACAATATAACGGAATAGCATTGAAATGGTTATTGTTGAGCAGTTTGTATCATGATATTTAGAATCTCCACATATTGAACACCAGTTTCTATCTGATTGATTTCCCTGGGTTTCTTCCCTGTGTGGTATGTAGTACTTCCATGCAAATAGCGAAATGCTCAGAATGAGATAGAAGAGATGCAGGGGTTTGTTCCATCTGCCCATCTTCAGACTCAGTATCTCAAACAGATGGTCAGACCAATATTTAAACCACATTGATAGGGATATAATGTGTCACTGAGCAGTGGGAGTTAAGGTAAACAAGCCATGAAGCCCCCCTGTTAAACTGCTGAAGCCTGACACACCCCCACACCTCCAGCCTATCAGGATTAGGAGATTCCTCCCCCCTACATCCATGCACCGCTGCTGTGACTTTGCTGTGAGGTCACAGAAACCCCCCCAGGGAATTCACTGCCACTCTGGAATAACAGCACCCACGCAGCACCAAGGTCGTGTTGTTTCCCTAATGGCCCTTATTGAGTAAAGTGCCCTGCTACCCAGCCTATGCCAATCAGCTGCCTCCTATCTGCGCCTTCTGCTAAATTGTTTATCAAGATTATCAAAATCGATCCAGTTGAAGGTTTTCAAATTATTACCCTTTTCTTTCATTTTAAAATGTCCAGAGGCCAGGAACTGGGTGCCCCTGTTTCCCTGCATGCCCTATGTGTGTAATCTCAGTGCTGGGAGCTAAAACAATGCTGAAGAATCTGTTTATGCACTGAAACTCTGTAGTATAGTGTAGGGGTGGGCAAAGGGCCAGCGTGTGTGCAGGTTTTTGGGGTAACCTTTAGATCAGCTGCTCAAACCCAGATGTGAGGATTCATCAGTCCTCTAATTAGTACTATAATTAGGGAGTTGCAGCGAAAACCCACAAATACCCTTTCTGGGTAAGATTGGGCACCCTGTGGGTAAGTTATTTGGATGCATGCATGCATGTTGGAGTGCAGGAACCAAATTTAATTTGGCTTCATTCATCATGAAAATTAAGTTGTGACCCCTCCAATATCAAACTCTCTCCCGTGCCGTATGGTGCATGGAGGGGCACAATAAAAGGGGGTGAAGTTATGACAACTTGGAATATAATCGGATTGCTCTGGGTTGGGGGCCCGCTATGATGTGGGGGCCCGAATCTCAAGCAGTGGCCCCACACCTATGGACTGTTAGAGGTCATTTCTATAGGATGTGAATTGTTTTTAGTGTGTTTTTGCGTGTTTTCCTAACCTTCCAGGTTATGAAAACACCACTATGGACAGACTGTTCACACTCTCATGTCTCATTAGTCTCCATACGCTGTGAATCCCTTTCTTGCTTTCTGTGTTTGTAAGTGTGGCAGTTTATCTCCATATTGCCCTCAGCTTGACTTTTCACGCATCTCCCTCAGCCACGCTTGGCACTGCTCAGCATAATTACTGACTGCTGTGCTCCTGTTGTCCTCTCAGGGGGGCGGGGGAAGAACGGTAGCCCCGTCATTGTCTTCCCAGAATTCCCTGCATTCGACCAGCTCCAGGATGGTGAATTTCACAATGTGTTGACGTACCTGACCAGCATCTCCAGGTGAGCAGCTCCTCGCACCGATGCCCCATCAGAAAACTTGCGGACGGATTTTTGGTGCCTGTGCCGCCTAGTAGCATTTTAAGACATGCCTTTAAAAACAAAACTTACTGGTACACTCAGTGATTGTTATCCTGTAAGGACACAGACAAATGTCTTTGGCAAAACTCCTCTGTGTTACGACTGAGAAAAAAAACTATGTAGGCTACGTATGTCCCTGGTATAAATTGCATTTGAAACAATATGTCTGTCAGAATTAGTATTACAAATATTTAATTTGGCTTAACTGTACTTTTAATGGTCAATCAACAAGCAAGCAGTAGTGAAAAAAGTATGGTATGTTATCTAGCCACTAGGTGGCAGTGCAGATTTGGTTATACAGCATCAGGTTTAAAAAAAAACACATCAGCATTCTGATTGGTTCATAATCCTGCCCATCTCAGTGATTCATAAAGTTGCTCTTTATACGTTCTGGAACATCGAAAGGCTGCATCTTCTGTAATGTTTAATGTTCAATGTTGGTTCTCCATAACTCAAAGTTGTGTGTTTATCAGCAAGTCGTGTCTCAAAGTTACTCGTCAGTTTTATTGCCTTTTGAAAAGAAAGTTCAACAATTTAGCATAATGTCCTCGTCAAAGGCATTGTATAATTTAGGAGAAAAATAAGATATACGTAGAGATATTCTCACCTTGAGTGCCTTCTCAGATGTTCTGGATTGCGTTAAATCTCCCGCCCCCCCAGTGTCCCGGGGCACTCCTGTGGGCCACGTTTACACCACGGATCATTATGCCGCCCTTTGTTCCATCTGAGACCCACACAAATGCCACATCAATATTTCCTTCCCAGGGAAACCTATTAAAGTTTATTGGATATTCATTTATCCTTTTCCCAGTTGATTATCTGGTTCAGGGTCATGGGGGGGCTGGAGCCTGTCCCAGGCAGCAAAGGGCACAAGGCCAGAAATCTCCCTGGACAGGATGCCAGACCGTCGCAGGACACAGACATGCAGTCACACGCTATAGGCGCCGTAAAGAGGCCAGTTTTCCCATCTGCGTGTCTTTGGACTGCCAGACAAACCAGAGTGCTCAGAAGAAACCCATGTAGTATGGGGGGATCATGCCAGCTCTACACACACAGATGGGTGTTGGATTCAAACCTGGAGGTGTGAGGCTATAGTGCTGCCCCCCAAGGCTATGCCCAACGCTATTAGACATCCCAGTACCTTAAATGCCTCTTAGATCACCAAAGCTTTATATGTCTGTACAGTGTGACATTGTGGTAAAAGCTCAGTGACCTCAAAATCTCGGATGCAGCACGTTAATCCCTCACACCTTTCCATGTGTCTCATCCACATATGCATATAGACACCGTGCATCACACCGCTAGCTGTGAGAAACAGGAAGGATTAGGGTTAGCAGAAATACATGGATTTGTCCTCGCTGGTAAGCCTTTCATGCTGCTGACTCTGTACTTCCCGGAGCAGTGAGGCTTCACACTCATCCAGATCCTACTGTTTCTGGAATTTAAAGGGACAAATCCTGCTTTCACTTGTGCACCTCATAGTTCACAATTCTTGAGGTTAAACACCCAGCCTCAGCCCCAGCCATCTCAGGGTGGACTGGAGACACTGAAAAAACGATTCCCTTAAGGCAAATGTGGAAAATAGAAGACCTGGTGTGATTTTTAACACTCTTGTCATCGTGCTAATGGCCTATCTGGTAGCCATGGTAGTCATTTAAAGATCACTTCATCTTTTATCACCAGTTATCAGCTGGTAACACCGGATCCAGAGGACGGGCTTACAGAGTCCCGCTGAGTCTAGATACTGAGGGACAAATCCTGCTTTCACTTGTGAACCTCATAGTAAACAAATACGCAAACAGGTACGGACAGGGTTGTGGTCAGGAATAAGAGCGTTTAAGGAAAGGAGAGCAGCATCTTGCGAACTTTCTGTTCCCGCCGGCGCAGCAGTTAACTGGCCCTGGTGAAATGCCCAGCTGTATAAATACATTTAATTTTGCTCTTGATAAGAGGCAGCTAAAGGTATCATGAGAATAATAATAATAATTCACTCCTTGTGTTGCATGGATTTCCTCCCACAGTCCAAATCCAGCATATAGCCAACTAGTAAAATAACAAGGTTGAAACCCCTCGAAATCGAGGGAGGGGGACCTATTGTCAGGGTTGCCAGACCCCTACAGGATTTTAGTCCAAAGACATGCAGGCAGGCTAATTAGGGTCTCTAAAGCAGTGTTTCCCAGTCTGGTCATTGGGGACCCACAGGTCCGCGTTTTTGATCCCTGTCAGAACCAGTGGGGAGCAAAACCATGCAGTATCTGGGGTCCTCAAGGACTGGGCTGGGAAACACTGATCTGAAGGTCGAGTGCTTGCATGTACATGTCCTGTGATGAACAGTCACCCTCATGTCACCCGGGAGCTTACCCCAAAGACGGGGGAAGACAGGGACCCCAGTGCAAACGTCAGGAATAAATCTACAGTCCTGGACGTGTGAAACCTGACTGACTGACTGAATGAATGAATGAATGATACCCACAGACCCATCCAGAATAAGCAGATGGAAGGTGGATGGATAATGACGGGATTTTTCACATAATTAATTGTTGCAGTACTCAAGGTTATTTGGGGTCAATGATTACGGAAGGTTATGAAACTCAAAGATGAGAAGACAGAGATCAGCTGAATAATCCCATCTGCTTTTTCAGCTGTGAAAGCAGCAGTAACTGGGAGAATGAGTCAGTGCCTTGTGCCTCTTAGACTCCGACAGCTGCAGCTCTTGAGGTGACTGCATGAGGAGAGAGAGAGAGAGAGGGAGAGAGAGAGGGAGAGAGAGAGAGGGTAAGAGAGAAGGGAGAGAGAGTTAGAAATGCATTTGTTTACCCGCCACAAGGAGCTTGTGGACATAAGCAGGCTCCGCTCCACCTGCACAGAGATCCCGTCCAATGGCTGATTAGCCCGCCTACTTGGGTTCACGCAAACAACCGCAAGGCTGCCAGTCAGCCGCTTCTGGGCCACGATTGGCTGAACCGCTGCCGCTGTCGCAGTCCAATTGGCTTCCTTCTTTAAAGAACATGCAGAGGTGGCTGCTGTGTGTTTTCATCTTCTCTTCACGCAGAACCTAAACCGGGAAGCGAAGGTCGTTTCCCCGCCAAGCCTTCTCCTCCGTTCCGTTTTTCCTGTTCCTTCTATGTTTATGTCTATTTTTAGCTCAGTGTGGGACATGGAGCAGGGTTTCGTGTGAGACGCCTGTCTGCTGCAGGGCATCAGTGGTGCCCGGCGAGGCGGCAGATTTTTGCCCTGCGGCGTCTTTGCACGTGACAAGCGTCCCTGCCATCTGTCGTCAGTAGGGGGCGCTTTGTGGAGCAGCCACCACCAGCCCCCCTCCCCGTCTATGTCACCTAGACCCGGCCTGAGGGTTCCCCTCCCCGTCACGTGACCGCTTAAGAAAGCCACCATGTGCCCGTGGGACTGAGACGCCTTCAGCTGAACCTGCACGGGAGGGGCAGAGTGGCCAGGAACCCGACACACGCTCAACCTATCTGTTAAACACTCACCAGTCTGCGTTCGTCGTTGGTCATGGGGACTGTGAACTCTTCCCTTTCAGCATCTCCACGGCAACGCTTGGGTTCATCCTGGTCATTGACCGTCGGCTGGACAAATGGACATCCGTGAGGGCGACTCTGCTGCGGATTGCGGTGAGGATGAACCCTGAGTGTGTGCGTGTGTGCATGCATAGGTGTGTGTGCGTGTGTGCATGCATAGGTGTGTGTGCTTGTGTGCATGCAAAGGTGTGTGTGCGTGTGTGCATGCAAAGGTGTGTGTGCGTGAGTGTGCATGCGTGTGTGACTTATGTTTGATTATGAGTGCATAATCGTATATGTGTGAATGTAATATGTACAGAATATGTTCCTTTGTCCAATATGTCAATAATAAATGTCCAGTATGTCCAAAATACCCATGTGACAGTGCGAGTATGTGTTTAGGTGTGTGTGCCACTTGACTTCTGGGATGGTGCTGAAAATTCTCCAGTAAAAGTGTGACGGGTGTGTTTGTGACATGGTGCCTCGTGTGGTCATACAGCGTATGAATGTTTGAGACTCAGGTGACTCATTGTTAATCTTCTGCTAAGCCGCATTCCAGAAGACACTCAAGTGCCAGTCTAGGAGTGTATATACAGTATACCCATACGAGTCAGTGCAATGCAGTGTGCAGTGCAGTGCAGTGTGCAGTAAGTGTGTGTATCCAGGTATACAGTAAGTCACTGAGGTCAGTATGTGTGTGTGATATATACATGTATAATCCTGTGTGGGTTGTGGTTGGTGTGTGTACACGCGTGAGGTTAGGGGCACGGTGTGTTTTGGCTCTGGGTCAGCTGCTTGCCTGGTCTCCTTGAGTTCAGTTCCTTCCCACAATCAAAAAACAGGAAGTTTAGTTGGACTGGTTTCTATAAATATTTGTGTTTGTGTGCCCTGTGATAGCCTTTCATCCCATTACGGAGGGGGGTGTTCCAGGTCATCGGTAGTGTGTGGCTATGCTAGTTAGGATTCTGCGCCCATAATCGTAATTTCAGATCCCACGGTTGATTTCATCAGTAGGCTCTTGAGCAAGACCCTTAACCCAGATTGGCTGACACCGCTTTGACAATCGTATGCTGCTCTGGATCAAAGCGTCTGGTAGCTAAACGTAACTGCTTTGTGCCGCGTGGGACAGGCTCCCGGTCCCCCACAGGATGAGCGGGCAAAGAAATGGGATGGATGGCTTTTAAAGTACTGAATACAGAGCAGGATTTTTCCCATTCTGTCTCAAGGGGTCCATTTTAATATGCAAGTCAGTTGGATAGACCTTCTGCAAAGATCATGGCTGCATGAGAAAATGCCGATATTAAAAAGCAGCGCACTGACCTGAGTGTATCCTGCCTGCTCACTGAGTGCTTCCGTGCAGAGCTCCATTGTGTACCTCACAGTATTGTGCTGCAGATGTACACCAACCCCCCCCCCCCCAACTGCAAAATGCTGCAGCCTGCATAATGTCAGAATCTACTGAAATGATGCAACGGGGGTGCAGCAGACTGTGGCTTTTCCTCTAGTCATACTGAGCCTGTCATTCACCCGTTTCTCCATATAAATGCTTAAGCCAAGATAATTTACAGAGCTGTCTCTGCTTGGGGGGGGGCATGATTAGCATGTTCTCTCTTGTTTTGTCCTGATCCGGTCGTGCTAAAGGACAGAGTCTCCAGCCTCATACGCTGCCCTCCCTCTCACGGCTCTCGCTTCCCTCCTCTCCTAAACTCTCCACTCTGCCAGCTTATTTCCTCTCTACGTTTTGCCATCCCTCTCTATTATTACATTTTTCTTTTTTTCAGTTGCTCATTATTTGCTTGTTTGTAGAAATATGCAAGCTACTGCATTAAGCAAGCCAGTTAAAATCTACACTGTATTAGGTAGGTACAGTTTTGATTGACGTAAGTAATCTGTTCGACAAACGCTTATTCAAGCCGGATCTACCATACTTTCAGGACCACATATCTGGATGGATGGATGGATGGATGGATGGATACCTTATAGTAAAAAACACAAGCCAAAAACATACTAGTAATACATACTAAAAACACCTATTAAACAAATTGTCACGTTCCAACAATGATGGAGGCAGGAGTAGTTGTGAGGGGAAACCAAAAGGGGGGTTTATTAAGGGGGACGGGGGAAACAAAAGCTGAGCACATGGGGGTTACACAAGACAAAACCAGCAAGTAGGGAAAGCAGTGCAGCACACACTGGGCCGACACAATGGCCAGACTGGGGAGCACAGGACTGGGAGTCTTACACACCACGGATGAGGGAGCAAACGAGAGGTAAGACAAATGAGTAACAGGTGTGGCTCATTAGACAGAACATTGGTGAGACATAAATGAGACAAAGTGTAGATTTACTCACAGTGTAAGTCACCTTCTTGCGTTCATATACTTTAGGTATCAAGGATATTTTTGCTGTAATTCGGATTTACTTAAATTGAGAGCTGTAAGCAAATTTAATATATCACTAAAATCTATATTATGTCCACTATGAAATGTGTAGCTGTAATCTGAGCCTTTATTTATCTTTATATTATTCGAATTTTGTGTTGTTGTTTTTTACCTTAATCTTACTGCATTGCGTCATGCCTGCATGTAACTGAATGATAACTAATTACTCTTCAGTTATAATTACTATATAAACTGCATTGCTGGTGTGTTTTCAGGAACTTCTGCTATGCAGCAGTGCTTTCAGTACCACAGGTTTCCGGACAGCTCCAGCTCCCCAAAACACGCGTGTGGGAGGAGCATCCATCCCCGCGTGTCGCGCTCTCTTCATGCGATTCCATTCTCAGCACACGACCCCTGGCTCCCATTGCTCTGAACCGTGGAGCATTTGGACATCTGAATGTGCCGCTGTCCCCCTGCGTGCACAGCGATCGCGCGTTTACAAACACGGCGAGCTGGAGCAGCTGCCATGCACTGATTCTGCTGTGACCTGCGGAGAAGGTGAAATAAAATTAGCATAGTGTCAGGAAACAATGCCCACAGCACATATTCTGCAGAGACGGAGAGAGGTTGGGCCCGGGCAGATTTCAGCATGTATTGGCGTGACTGTGAAGGGGGTGTGATGGCTAATTCTATCAACTCTGCTGGTTTATTTGGCGAAAGCTGCCTTCGCAGTGGAGGGCAGAGGACTGAAAAGGAGGCTTGGAATAATGACTCACTTTGTGTACATCTATTGCCTCATGTCTGTGTGATTGACTAAGAGATGCAGGATTGTTATACTACATTACGAATTGCTCTGGGACGGCCAGTCTATGTGTATATAGGAGTGTGTGTGACTGTATAGATTAGGTTTATATATATGCAAAGATCTGTGAACCAAAAAAGTAAAAATGCCAAAAGTTATGTATTCTGTTTGGTTATTTATGGGTAAGATTAGTGCTGGGTGATAAGGATTAGAGTTTCCACATAGAAATGAATGGAGAGTCCCCACAAAGGTATAACCATAAACATGTGTGTGTGTTTGTGTGTGTCTGTGTGTGTGTATGTATGAGAGTCACACTGTGAAAGTCTACAACGATGATTGTCCAGTTTAATCAGACAGCAGATGCCCTGTGAGAAATTAGCAAGCAATCTCCTCATAATTAATTAAATATGTGAACCATATAAAGCCTCAGAGAAGATTGTCTCGGTTGAGAAATTTATAACATCTATTCATAATTAAATTCATTAAAAAACTGTAACAGACCTATGCTTCACTCACTGCTGTTGCATTTTCAAAGATATTACATTGAAAAAAAAATCTTTAAAGGGTTAGAAAAAGCCATGTGCTGCTGAGAAGTGAATCTATAAAATTTGCTATGACTTCAGGTCCGCGGGTTCCGCGGGTTCTGCGGGTTCTGCGGGTTTGCTGTTTTGGGGGCTGCGGCTGGGAAAGCAGAAGCCTCCTCACAGTCGAGTACCTTCAGGCATCGGCTCTCCAAGGGGGATCTCGGGGGGGGGGGGCCAGAAAACCTTGTTCTGTCCTCAGGTTTGCATTACATGGTACATTCTAATGACGTTCTGAAGGACATCGAAATTGAATTATGCAGATTCACTATACAAATGAAAAGAATTTAAAAGCCAAATGATAAACTTTGGTCGTAGTTGCTGGTGTGTAGCATTTCCATGACACCCAGTAATGGATTATTGTTTTTTAGGTGTTAATTATTGTTATACATTGTGATTACAGTTTTTTTCAGTCGCTAACAAGCGTTTGTCCAAACAGTTGTCACATTTTCAAAACTCTAAACACAATTAGCACAGCATCGGTCTTTTGTGGCCATACCATTCACACATTTCATGTCGTTTTCACCCAATATGCAGTCAGTGAACACATTTCCACAATGCTTACATTTTCTTAACAGACAAGCTATACCTCCCAACAAAATTATGGATCGTTTTTGTCTTATTTACAAATGTTAATACACAACATACAACAATAAAAACAACAATATTCCAAACCTTACATACAGTATAAAAACTCTACTTCTGCAATAATATCAGCTCAAAAACAACACATCAGCTCAAAAATAAGCTGACAATTAACAAACAATTCAATAATT